CTGTTGTAGCATACATAAAAAAGTTCTGTCCTTCTTTGGCACCAATTGGCCGACAATGCCCAGGAGAAAGGCCTCTGGTTTCTTCAAGAAGGTATATTTAAATACCTTTTTCAGTTCATTATATATCATTTCCCAGAAAGCCTTAATCCTTGGGCACGTCCACCAAAGGTGAAAGAATGTACCTTCAGTTTCTTTACATTTCCAGCATTTATTATCGGGCAAATGATAGATTTTGCAAGCTTGACTGGGGTCATGTACCATTTAATCATCATTTCTTTCACTTCTTCCTCCATCAATTCCCAGTCCAATAAAAGATTATAGGTTTTGGATAACAATTTCTTGTTGTTGTTTATCACTGTGACTTTAAATTTCGAATCTTCTTTTGCAAATCCTTTCTTTTGATCCGAGTTGAATATACTTCTAAGTTGTATATATTGCCATCTGTCAATTTAAATTTTGACTTACCAGATTCAAATAACTTCTGATGGGGAGCGTTCAGGTGAAGATGTTGCTGTTTGTTTCACAGACAAGGCGTGGACGTTGCTGGATCCTGACCAGAGAGATCAGCATAAAGAGGTCAAGGAGGAGAATCGTGGGATCGTGGACTCTCTTGGTAAGGCTCCCTGTTGGATCATAACATGTTGTGATTGCAAATGAAGTGGGTTCCATGATTGAGCCAGAACAAAATCCATCCCAGATAAAAGCCAAGCAATATCTCAGTTAATACCAGCCAACTAAGGAAGTGAAACCTATAGGACGGCCTCACATCTCATTCTCTTCAGTTCTTCCTCTGTCACAAGCATTCATTAACATTGTTCAATAAGCTGGAGCTCCCATTTCCTCCTGAGACTCTAATTAGCATCTCTCTTCATTGCAGATGGTGATGAATTGGAAGAGAAGAACAAGGGGGAGCACAACAGAATCCACATAGCGGAGAAGTCATATAAATATTCAGGGTGTGGAGAGAACATCCGTCAAAGCTCCCAGTCCACCTCCCATCAAAGAAAGAGCTTCATTCGAAGGAATAGCCTCACTTCACACGAAATAACACAGAGTAGGAAGAAATCGTATCAGTGCTTGGAGTGTGGAAAGAGCTTCAATCGAAAGAATAATTTCACTGTGCATCAAAGAATTCATACAGGGGAGAAACCATATCAGTGCTTGGAATGTGGAAAGAGCTTTCGTCAGAGTGGTGAACTCACTTCCCACCAAAGAATTCATACAGGGGAGAAACCCTATCAGTGCTTCGAATGTGGGAAGAGCTTTCGTGTGAGTGGTGATCTCACTTCCCACCAAAGAATTCATACAGGGGAGAAACCCTATCAGTGCTTGGAGTGTGGAAAGAGCTTCACTCATAGCTCCCATCTCACTTCCCATCAAAGAATTCATACAGGGGGAAAACCCTATCAGTGCTTCGAATGTGGAAAGAGCTTTCGTGTGAGTGGTGAACTCACTTCCCACCAAAGAATTCATACAGGGGAGAAACCCTATCAGTGCTTGGAGTGTGGAAAGAGCTTCACTCATAGCTCCCATCTCACTTCCCATCAAAGAATTCATACAGGGGGAAAACCCTATCAGTGCTTGGAATGTGGAAAGAGCTTCAATCGAAAGGGTCATCTCACTTCTCATCAAACAATTCATACAGGGAAAAACCCTATCCGTGCTTCGAATGTGGGAAGAGCTTTCGTGTGAGTGGTGATCTCACTTCCCACCAAAGAATTCATACAGGGGAGACACCCTATCAGTGCTTCGTAGGTGGGAAGAGCTTTCGTGTGAGTGGTGATCTCACTTCCCACCAAAGAATTCATACAGTGAGAAACCCTATCAGTGCTTGGAGTGTGGGAAAAGCTTCAGTTACAGCGCCAATCTCACTTCCCATCAAAGAATTCATACAGGGGGAAAACCCTATCAGTGCTTGGAATGTGGAAAGAGCTTCAATCGAAAGGGTTATCTCACTTCTCATCAAAGAATTCATACAGGGGAAAAACCCTATCAGTGCTTGGAATGTGGAAAGAGCTTCTGTCAAAGGGGGGCACTCACTTCCCATCAACGAATACATACAGGGGAGAAACCCTATCAGTGCTTGGAATGTGGAAAATGCTTCAGTCATAGCACCGGTCTCACTTCTCATCAACAAATTCATACAGGGGAGAAGCCCTATCATTGCTTGGAATGTGGAAAATGCTTCAGTCATAGCACCGGTCTCACTTCCCATCAAAGAATTCATACAGGGGGAAAACCCTATCAGTGCTTCGAATGTGGGAAGAGCTTTCGTGTGAGTGGTGAACTCACTTCCCACCAAAGAATTCATACAGGGGAGAAACCCTATCAGTGCTTGGAGTGTGGGAAAAGCTTTAGTTACAGCGCCAATCTCACTTCCCATCAAAGAATTCATACAGGGGAAAAACCCTATCAGTGCTTGGAATGTGGAAAGAGCTTCAATCGAAAGGGTCATCTCACTTCTCATCAAAGAATTCATACAGGGGAGAAACCCTATCAGTGCTTGGAATGTGGAAAGAGCTTCTGTCAAAGGGGGACGCTCACTTCCCATCAACGAATACATACAGGGGAGAAACCCTATCAGTGCTTGGAATGTGGAAAGAGCTTTCGTCAGAGGGGTGATCTCACTTCCCATCAAAGAATCCATACAAGAGAGACAACGTCTTAGTGTTTGGAATGTGGGAAAAGATTCATTCATTGCCCACCAAATAATTTATACGGGGTTGAAAATTGGGTCCCTCTCAAAGAGGGCTGCAGACAACCGACAGATTACAACTGGGGAATATTTCACACAGGAAACCACATCTGCTTGCATGGACTTTTGTCATATATGGATTTATAAAAGTGAAGGTGAATCTTTGATCTTTGTAAGCTTCCCTTAGGGCTCAGGGGGAGCAAGCTTGGATTCTAGAGGAACCAAACAAGTATTAACTGTGAAATCTATCGCACAGTGTGGTCTCTTACAGAAGATTCTTCGGTTTGGGAAAATATCAGTCAGTTAAAATACATTACATGTGTCTTAATTTTAACTAAACAAAGGAAAGCTGGAAGACAGCCCAGAGTCCTGGAAGGTAAGACAGTGGAATGAAATAGGGCCTTCTGAGGAGGGACTGCACCGAAAACAATTGATGGACAACAACAAGAAGAGCACAATTTTCATCATGCATGTTAATTTAGATATAGATCTGTTAAATATGATGAAAGTTGCATGCCAGTGGCTGTCAAGATAAGATAAAGGATTAAGATCGGGATGATATTGGGAATAAATAAAAGAGAGAAAAGTAGGAACAAGAACCCCCCCCCAAAAAAATTATCTCATCAATCTTTGACTTTTGTCTTTTGGGTTTCTCTGTTGTTATTCTGTCTCTCACAGCTACAATAAACCTACCATTAATATTGTGGACTAGGCATTTCTTTGTCAGAGGGCAAAAAAACCAAATTTAGAAGGGGATCAAATACTTTCCCCCCTCACTCTAGATGTTTACACACACCCCTGGCTCTCGCTTGGAGGAGGAGTGAGAGACGGAGGCACTTTACTGACAGAATTGCATTTCCCTCACACCTCCTTTCCTCCCAGGAGCTCCTCCTTCCACAACAACCCTGCCAGGTTGGCCTCTTGCATTTCGCCCCCTTTCCAGCACTGCGTTGTTTAGTGTGGCAGCACCTGCCCTTTGGAACTCCCCGCCTCTTGCAATAAAGCACGTACCTTTGCTAGACTCTTTTCTGGCACCTGCTAAAAGCATTCTTATTTAGGCAAGCATAGTCAGATGCTTAGGAAGCTGAAGTAATTTTAATCTCTTTTAATATTTTAGCTTTCTGTGTTTTAAAGTAGGCTTGTTAATTTGAAGGGAAGTTTTCTTTCTGCAGTTCTCTTACTGCACATAACTGTGGCATTGTGGGAAGTCTTGCTTCTTTTCTCTTGCATTCTGGGAAGTCTCGCTCATAATCTTCTCTCTGCTTCTGCACAAGAGTCTGAGAATGTTCTGAACAGTTCCCATTGAGTTCATGAAACAGTGTATCCTGACCTGTTCTTAATGCATTGCTGACCACATCTACGGAACGTGATTGTTGTATTCCTTCATGTTATGTTCTCTCAATATCAATCTTTAGTTATAATTTAATTAGGAGGTTTCATGCCTGTCTAGTTCCAGCTCCGTTCCCAGTCTTTAATCTATCAGTGATTAATGTAATATGTAATTCCCGCCTTGTACCTATGTTAACCAATCAGCAACAAGATGCTTTGTGTTTGTATCAACCAATCAGCCACAAGCACACCTGTGGCAATGTTTGTAATATTCAATAAAAGAGAGTTCCCGGGGCTCGCCCCGGAGAGACGCCTCTCATATGACACCTACCACTCGTCATGTGGTGTTTGAGAGTGAATTTAAACATAGCGCATCAGCCCTGTCTGATCCGCAGCATACTGCCAATCAACTTTATGGCGCTGGTCAGTATGCTGATATAACAGCCCAGGCAACGCTGACACCTGTACATTTTGTTCGCACCGCGACCTGTGTACAACGCGCCTTTCGGAAAGTCCCTGTTTCTGGGCAACCGCTGAGCTCCTTTGTAAATATTAAGCAACAGCATTCGGAGCCATACCATCAGTTTATAGATAGATTGAAAGAATCAGTCACTAGGCAGATTGATAACACCACAGCTCAAAATGAATTGATGAAAAAATTGGCCTTTGAAAACGCAAACACCGATTGCAAGAAAGCTTTGCAGTCAATCATACATCGCCCTAAATATGACCTGGCCGATATGATTCAAGCTTGTGCGGATGTCGGTAGCCAGAGCCATGCGATGTCTTTGCTTGCCGGCGCAATCCAAGCAGCCACTAGGCCTACGGGTAACTGCTTTAATTGTAAGCGCCCAGGCCATTTTGCCAAGCAATGCAGAGCCCCTGGCGGGGGGGCACACAAGGATGGTGCTGCCTCTAAGGCTAAACCTTCAAAAAAATGCCCGAAATGTGGCAAAGGCTATCATTGGGCTAATCAATGCAGGAGTCCGGGAAACTCCATTGCGGCCCCACTCTCGGGCCAGGGCAATTAGAGAGTTTTCCACCTTTAGTTTCTGCTGCTGCAAACTTTTCAAAAAACACACCCTCTGAATTTGCCATTGATTTGATCAATCAAGAGACCAAAGACTCTGTTTTACCTGGTGAAATTGTTCTTATGCCCACTCAATTGGCAGGCCCACTGCCTCCTAAAGTCGCAGGTTTAATTTTACCCAAATTTTCTGCGGCAAAAGAAGGAATCCAGGTTATTCCAGGAGTTTTGGATCCTGACTATGTAGGCACAATAATGGTCCAACTCTGGAGCCATATGCCCATGCAATTAAAAAGGGTGAGTCTTGGGCGCATTTGGTGGTGCTCCTTCTCATCCTACTGCTTCTATTATGGATACTAATTTGCACGAGCTCTCTTCTTTCCCTCCACAGCTGTTAGCTGTAGTCCAGAGGATTGGTGAGAAGAAACTTCTTCGTAAGTATAAAATCAATGGTATTGTGCTGGAAGGCTTGATTGACACAGGCGCAGACGTTTCTGTAATTTCTAGTAGTTGCTGGGACCCCACGTGGCCCCTTGAGTCTGCCTCTGCAGTCTGGGGTGTGGGTGGCCCCAAAACCTCTTCCAAAAGCGTACAGTGGCTGCCTGTTTCTCTGCCTGATAGCTCTGAAACCATTGCTTACATCCAGCCCTGTGTGCTGAAAATCCACCTCAATCTGTGGGGAAGAGATTTACTACAACAATTACAAGCTACCATTCAATTTAATGAGTAAGCTTGCACTTCCCCTCAGCTGGAAATCTACCAGTCCTGTATGGGTGGAACAATGGCCCATAACGGGAGAAAAGCTACTTGCTTTAAAACAATTAGTGAATGAACAATTATCGGCAGACCATATTGAGCCTTCAGTTAGCCCCTATAATACACCCATCTTCGTCATAAAAAGAAGAGTGGCAAATGGAGATTTCTCCAGGATTTAAGGAAAATAAACCAAATCCTTGAACCCATGGGGCCTTTGCAGTGTGGTCTGCCTAATCCAAATATGATTCCACATTCTTATCAATTGGCTATAATAGATTTGCAAGACTGTTTTTTCTCCATCCCCCTACAGGAGAAAGAGCGTAAATTATTTGCTTTTACTGTTCCTGTGTTAAATAACAGTCAGCCCCCGGAACGGTACCAATGGAAAGTCCTACCACAAGGAATGCTGAATTCCCCTACCATGTGCCAACAATACATCAGCCATGGCACACCTTGCTGTTTAAGCCGTTTGTCCATCATTTTATCACCACAATATTGAATTGACTAATGATTGTGATGCTTTTGTCTCTCTTCTCAGTAGGTCTGAATATATCTCTTTAGCAGTTTCTCTCTTAGGAGTCCCTGGATTGGCTGTACGGAATCGTATGAACATTACTTCTTTAGCTTATTCTGAAGCAAAAACCCTGAATTTTATTTCACAAGCTCTTCACCTTTTGAATAAAGAACAGAGTGAACTACAAAATGGACTTTTACAAAATCGTGCTATCGATTATTTGCTGATGCTTCATCATTATGGCTGTGAACAAGTGAATGACATGTGTTGTTTCAATATTACTGACAATTCTAGAGCCATTCAAAGCCAAATCTCTCATTTGCAAAATCTTACACATCACATTAAACAGGACATTGGTTTTCCTGGCCTCTGGGATTCTTTCACCCAGTGGCTTACCGCTTGGTTGCCAAACCTTACTTGGCTTCGTAGTCTTTTTCAATATGCTATTGTCATAATTTGTCTTCTTATTTTGCTATGCTGCTTCCTTCAATGCGTTCCTAGCCTCATATGTCTTTTCTCTCGGCTTCTCTCTCCCCCTCAACCACCCAGTAAACTCCTTGCTGCCTACTTTGCGAAATGGCAACACCAACAGTAACCTTTAGGGGAGATGTGGGCGGATTTATTTTGGGCATGCGCTGGCAAACCACGTATCCTGAAGTATTTTTGTCCCATCGACCCTGGCGAACTTATTTTGGGCATTCGCTGGCACACCACTAATCCCGAAGTATTTTTGCCTTATTTACCCAGAACGCCTCGCAAACAAGAAAAGAAAGGGGTAGATGAAGGGAAGTTTTCTTTCTGCAGTTCTCTTACTGCACATAACTGTGGCATTGTGGGAAGTCTTGCTTCTTTTCTCTTGCATTCTGGGAAGTCTCGCTCATAATCTTCTCTCTGCTTCTGCACAAGAGTCTGAGAATGTTCTGAACAGTTCCCATTGAGTTCATGAAACAGTGTATCCTGACCTGTTCTTAATGCATTGCTGACCACATCTACGGAACGTGATTGTTGTATTCCTTCATGTTATGTTCTCTCAATATCAATCTTTAGTTATAATTTAATTAGGAGGTTTCATGCCTGTCTAGTTCCAGCTCCGTTCCCAGTCTTTAATCTATCAGTGATTAATGTAATATGTAATTCCCGCCTTGTACCTATGTTAACCAATCAGCAACAAGATGCTTTGTGTTTGTATCAACCAATCAGCCACAAGCACACCTGTGGCAATGTTTGTAATATTCAATAAAAGAGAGTTCCCGGGGCTCGCCCCGGAGAGACGCCTCTCATATGACACCTACCACTCGTCTGTCGTGATTTCAACCCAGCATTAATTCTTATTGATTTTACTGCTGTGGTGTTGTTGTTGTTGTTTGTATTGGTAAACAACTTTGCAGGTTGTTTAAAATAAATTTTAATAAATAAATAAACAATAAATATAAATAAAATAACACAAGCCAAAACACAATGCATCCTGTAGAATTAAGTAACTGTCCACAGTGGCCTACTTGTTATCAGAGGCCCAGAATCCACATTCCTTTGTAAGAAAATATGAAATAAAGTCAAAACATTTTTGCAGGCAAAAAAAGAAGAAGTCAATATTGGGGAGGTGACAAAAACTTTTCCACACCAGGTACCCCCTGACCTTCTTACGCAATTGCACGGGATGCAGGGAGGGGGCATGGGGTCCCTATTCAGATCATGCCTGGGGGGGGAGACCCCCAAGTCAGGGAGCAGAGGGTCCTCCCTTGTCCTCTCTGCCAAGCCAGGGAGGGGCCACTTCGCAGGAAATATGCAGCTCTGCTCTTCCTTGGGATCCAGATGCTGCCTTCATTTTTGGGGAGGGGGCTTGGGGTCAAGGAGATAAACCCCCTTCAGATGGAGGGAAAAGTCACATTTGTGAACAGAGGATGTAGACAGATGAGAAGGTTTGAGATATACAGACTCAGCCTACATATTTGTATCATTTATTATTCCTATGTTCCCTGTTTTATAAAGCTAATAAAAGTTATACAAAAAGAAGAGGAAAAGGCAACACACGGAGGCCCCATCTGAGTTCACACTGCACAGCAGGATCAGGTTCCTTTAAGGAGTCCAGTGCTGCGCGATGGATCAGTGAGTTGTCTGAAATTGGCAGGGCATCCAGATCACAGAACTGGTTTTAGACATTTTGAGCTGCCAACACATCACTTCGGGCAGTGAGCTGTGATCTATTCCTATCTGAAATTGCCTGCAGATGACAAAAGCGTAGGCAGGCAGCCAGGTAGGTGGGGGAGCCCGAAAAGGTGCTCCCCTTCTCCATCTCCATCCGCCTGCCTGCCTCCCCCCACCCCCTAGCTGAGCAAGCCCCAATTCCTCTCCGGCTCCATCCCTCTACGTCCCCATCTCCACTCCCCTGGGACTCACCAGATCTCTCGGAGGTCCCTGGGAGGGAGTGCTCAGAGGTTGTGGAGAGGGAGGCAGGAGACAACCTGACCAGATCATCTGTCCAACTTCCCTCTTCCATCTCCTCTAGCTTGACAGGATCCGTCTCACTCATCCTTCCTGAAGAGTCAAGTAGCCAAAAGAAGCTGCAGGGTCCTGGGAGAGAGGAAGAAGCAAAGGGAGCCTCAGAGGCCCTGCAGGGATTCTCCTGCCCTAGATATTCTCCTGCCCCTGGAGAAGCACAAATGGGGTGGCCCCTTCCCAACAGAAGCCCCATTTCTAAACCTCTCCAGTGGTTTCAATTTTCCCTGTTTGCTAATCACCCCACTTCGTAAGGCTGGCAGGGTCTGTCCAGTAGTGACCTCAAGGTAGAACCCTTGAACTCAGTGGGGCTTATGGACACAACTTGGTGCCAAACCCAGTCACCTTCCTGTCCCCAAGCCTGAAAACTGCAACATCAGAGCATGGGCAGACGAGTAGCTAATACCTGTAAGTGGCCCCATGCTTGGTGCTTTCTATGGAGTGTCCTGTTGACGTTCTTTGTTGTTGTTTTTTAATGATATTTATTAAAGTTTCACAAAGAAAGAATCACATCAACAAAAAAATAAATAAATAAAAATTCAAGAATAAGAAGAAAAATACACAATACAAAATACAAAAAGAAAAAAGAAAAAACAATTAAAAACAATTCCCTCTTTTCATCGCTACTTTTACATTTACTTGTTTCCCGGACCTCCTCATACCTCCCTCTTTTGTATTCCAATTCAGTTTGTTAGTCCAGCAATTCCTTTCCCTCCTTTTTAATCCCAATCCTTAATCTTAATATAATATACCATTGAATTTTTACCTAATAAAAACCATTTTTTCCATTCTTTTAACCTTTTTAATCCTAATCCTTAATCTTGATATATTTATAACTTTAAAGCCTGTACGGCTAGAAGCCACTTAATTTCAATCCAACATCACTCTAACATTCATTAATTTTGCAATATTTCTGTAAATAATCTTTGAATTTCTTCCAATCTTCTTCCACCGACTCTTCTCCCTGGTCTCGGATTCTGCCAGTCATTTCCGCCAGTTCCATATAGTCCATCATTTTCACCTGCCATTCCTCCAGTGTGGGTAGATCTTGTGTCTTCCAATGCTTTGCAATAAGTATTCTTGCTGCTGTTGTAGCATACATAAAGAAAGTTCTGTCCTTCTTTAACACTGATTGGTTGACTATGCCCAGGAGAAAGGCCTCTGGTTTCTTCAAGAAGGTATATTTAAATACCTTTTTTAATTCATTATATATCATCTCCCAGAAAGCCTTAATCTTTGGGCACGTCCACCAAAGGTGAAAAAATGTACCTTCAGTTTCTTTACATTTCCAACATTTATTATCAGGCAAATGGTAGATTTTTGCAAGCTTGACTGGGGTTATGTACCACCTGTATATCATTTTCATAATATTCTCTCTTAAGGCATTACATGCCGTAAACTTCATACCTGTGGTCCATAACTGTTCCCAGTCAGCGAACATGATGTTATGTCCAACATCTTGTGCCCATTTGATCATAGCAGATTTCACCGTTTCATCCTGAGTGTTCCATTTCAGCAGCAAGTTATACATTCTTGACAAATTCTTAGTTTTGGGTTCTAACAGTTCTGTTTCTAATTTTGATTTTTCCACCTGGAAGCCAATTTTCTTGTCCAAATTGTATGCCTCCATTATCTGATAATAATGAAGCCAGTCTCGCACCTTGTTTTTTAGTTTTTCGAAACTCTGCAATTTCAATCTGTCTCCATCTTGTTCCAAAATTTCCCAATATTTTTGCCCCTGTTGACGTTCTTTGAGCTCTCTCATTGCAAGCCAGGCAGATGTGGCCATATTTGCCTCTTGCATGTGGACCAAATCTTTTGGGAAGCTCTTCATCTCCAATTGGTAGGAAAGAGGGTTCATTAACCTGCTGGTGGGAGGAGGTGGCTTTTCAGCCCATAAATTCAATTCATGCTGGAATATCTGGTGGGCTGGATCTGGAGCACAAAGGGTCAAGTTCTACTTGCATGAGCCCTTGTGTTCCTTCTTCAGACTTATTAGGCAGGAACGTCAGAGGTCAAATCTGGAGAATATTGCATTCTGGGCTTCTTATGGCAGAGCACAGGAGGCATGCAATCAATTCTTTTCAGTTCTGTCAAGTAGGTCCTTCCCTAGATTTCTCAAGTGCAAGCACCCAGGGCTGTCTGAGTTATGGGGTTCCTTGGGGTCCAGGTCAGCTGGCTAGTCAGGATTGTCACCTGCAGAGTATATGTCAACTAAAGGATAATAGTCTGCCTTGAATTGAGGACTTTTGGAGGTGTTGCTGAATGTGGAAGCAGAGGAGCTGGTGATGCCACATTTCGGAATAATCTTGAGACTAATACACTGTTGGAAAACATGCCCCCCTCGGGAGAGGCTGGCCTCTCTCCCAGATCCCGGGGCTTGTTTACCGGTGATCTACTCTGGCTGACATCCCCGCAGTCCAGGAAGATCTTGATAGGCGACATCTCCCAGCTGCTAAGATGCACACCCCCTTCTTCCTTGCATACCAGCAGGAGAAAGAAGATAGTCAGAAAGTCTTTTACATCTTGTTTATTTCAGACTGCACAACTCTACAAAAAAATGTCCGATCAGTTCAGTCTCCTCCGAGCAAGAGACTCAGACTTCCTTCACATACGCAACAGGAAGGTCTCATATTACACACAGAACAAAGCCTTGTAAATCCTGTGAACTTCCGGGAACATTCTTTCCCACAGCTAGCCACATCTTGTGATGTAAATACTGAGCTGCCAGTTTGCAGCTGCGTCACACTCATATTCCAACATACACCACTCCTCCATAGATACTCTCTGTGCTTATACACTATATTCACAAACTTTACGCTCCTCTTGTGAGAAGATACCTAAAGGATTAGGGTAGCTTGAGAGAAGTAGCTTATTTTGAGACAGCACCCATTTCCAATTCTTGTTTATCAAAACCCTCTCCCTGGTTGGTTTGGTTTTGGCTTCTGACAGGACAGCAGAGCATTTGATAACCTTGCATATTGTTTCATATTGATATAAGGATCTGGTGTGCAAATTCCAGTACAGTGGTACCTCAGGTTACATACGCTTCAGTTACATACGCTTCAGGTTACAGACTCCGCTAACCTGGAAATAGTA